CCCCAAAACCCCAAAACCCCAAAACCCCAAAACCCCTTTTAGAGAGTACGTTATTGAAACTGGGTTAGTTACTTGTTAAGCTCTGTTAAGGTATGTCCACTATCGTCTCTTATTGAGCCTTCCTGCCTTAGTAGAGAGGCTCTTCTCGTGCATTGCTACTTGTCGTCAAGGATCGGCAAGACCTGATTTATATTCTTTCACAATGTCATTCGCCTGGGTTAAGTTTTCAGTAATTTGCAAAGCAGAGTAATCAAAATATCTTTTTGCTAATTTTGGGTCTGTATTAACATTAATTATACCAGGCTTAATTATCTTAGTTTACCCATGAAGTTGGTATTTAAGGAAATTAATAAACCTGAAGGGAAGAAGGAACTGCCCACTTACTAGTTACATTCTCCATTTGTTTAACTAAAAGTATGAATGATAAACTTACTGATTTCGACCATCTCTTCAAATTTCTGCTGGTAATATTGCTCTAAAAACATTCTGTAGTTGTATTTTGTCTTGAAGTCAATTTCATCTTCGAGATCATACTCGAATCATTGCTTTATAACCAAAATTATAAGAAAGGTGCTAATTCTGCCAAGATTTTGAACCTTCTTGAAAATCCGACGAAGGGAATTATTGGATGGATTCAAAATAGGGATTTTGAAGGTATTAGATTAAGAAAGTAGCCTTACTAGAGGTAAACAGACTTTTTCACTCTGCTAAGTTCCTTCTCACGCTCATTCTTATTTCTTATTAGACAGCCTAGAAGCAAGCTTCTTGCACAAGAGTTTTATATCAGGATCCGTCATTTTAGGAGGTGGTGGCAATGAGAATCTATTCGAGCGTTCTCTTAGCCTTGGAGGACTCTTATCCCTTCCTCTTGAAAGATTCCTGTTAAATATTTTACGCTTTAGTAATCCAAACTTTGTTGTGCTTATGGTAAATTTATCTTGCTTAACTTATACTTTTTAGCAGATTTCTTCCCTTGTTTTTTCAGAGGACTATCGCTCTGCTTGTTTTCGGTAATTAAAAAGCTGCTGTGATTATGTTGTATATCAGCATTGTCGAAATTCATTGGAGGAATCAAAATCTCTCGCTTAGTCGTGCTTCCTGTAGCTTCTTCATTTCCTATCGTGCTCAGAGTCGTATTAAGCTTCTTCTGAGCTGGACTTTTCACTTTAGATAAGCCAGGAAATTTATTGCTTCGACTAAAATATTTACACGAGATCTTACAAGTTTCTAATGACTGGAACCTCTCTCCTGATCTTTCTAAAATTCTGAGGTGTATTAGGAGGAAGAACTTTTATATAGTGAGGTTTAAAATTGTGTGACCTCTCCCTCTGTGGCTTGCTCACATTTGGATCCATACTCAAGTTCCTTAATCTCTCCATAGTGTTTCGGAAAGTATTGGCTTCTTGTTCTCTAATAGATTGAGGATCTGTGCTTTCCATCGGACCAATGACAGATTTATTCCTTTTATTTAAAATTTTGTTCTGCTTTTCCTTCTCTGACCAGTTCCATTATGTCTACCTAGAGCTTACACCTATTTGTACCTTATCTTCGAACAAGGTACCTTTCTTGTATTTCTGGAATGCACTGTTGTCGTTACAAAGAGCCTGGAGTCTGAACCTGGAAGCTGCCCTTTCCTTTTCTTCCTGAGTTTCTATCAGATAAGCATAGAAAAATCTTACCCCTAGTGCACTTATTTTTCTTGAGGTTCTGATAGCTTATCTCTGACTTTTTCTAAAGGAAATTATACTTTAAGAAATTACTAACTTCTTCAATGTAGAGTAGCTCGTTCTTAGTCATTTCCTTCTCTTGTATCTCATTGTAAGTAAACAGGTCTTCTTGTAAGTTATTGCCTTTTTTGTTATCTCAGATAATAGAGCTGACTTCGCCATTGAATGCCATCAAACCTTGCCGCGTCTTTGTAGTCGTTTTCATATCCTTATGAACTACAGGAGAAACTGAATCTGTCAATTGAACTATACACCAAAAAAATCAGATCTGGGTAGAAACACATGGGAAAGCCAAAAACTTTTGACACTCTTCAACCGTCTTTCACTCGGATGAAAATGAGTTTCAAAGATCGGACAAGTTTTGGAGTTTATAACAAATCCTAGATTTTGTTTGGCTAATGTCCCTCATTCCCATATTAGTAAAGATACTTTGCAGATTTAGCTTGTCTTGTAATAAGCATAAATTACTAAGAGTTACTTACAAGACTTATTGCTCGCGCTAAGTCTCCTATTGCCAGAGACCTTTGGTACAAAAACTGTAGTTTCTTCTGGACCACTTGATTTCATATAGAATTTATTAATTTTATCAATTTCATTCTTGACCCGAAGCTTAAAGCCGATAAAGGTCTCATCGTATAGTCTGGTCAAATCTCGAGCCCTCTTTAATTCCCGAGTCTCTTGTAAACCATTGCTCATCTTTAGACAAAATATTTTTATTTATGAAGATAATGGGGTTTTGGGGTTTTGGGGTTTTGGGGTTTTGGGGTTTTGGGGTTTTGGGGTTTTGGGGTTTTGGGGTTTTG